TTCATTACACATGTAAGCTATCCATATACTGTATCTTAAAACTTTTTGTCTTTGGTTTCTTGAGAAAAAATTTCATGCTTATATTTCTCAATAATTATATAGTACACACTTCCAGGAAATAAAAGAATGACCACACCAACCAAATAAACAATGTAGAATCAAGCTCCCTGAGTAATTGTGCTTAATGTCTGCTCTAACTCCAGCTTTCATGTGCTTCTTTGCTCCTCGCATCATCTTGGATGATGATCAAGGACAGCTCCAGCTTGTCCTTGATATCCTTGGAGAATCAATTTCAGGAAAACCCATGAGGAAGCTAGAAGTCAAGGATGCCCAAGTCCCTTTTATTAAATGGCTCAGTATTTGCAAATGCCTATGTGGCTCCTCTTGTGCACTCTAAATATCTCTATATTAAAAGTCCCTAACGCAAAGTAAGTTCTATGTAAACTATGGAGGGACCATGGCACTTTACTTTTATAATAAAAAAAATGAAAAGGAATGTTTTCAGGATGATAGATTTGATATTACAGGTAATATTTGAAACTTGAGGTAGTAATGTTCTTAATGGCTTCATCTTTACCTTTAATGAAATTAATAGCCACAGTGTCTTATTATTTTATTATATGCAGTAATAAATTCACATGATGTTTCGTTTTATCTTCATTTTATAATTTATAGCTAGAAAGTTGAAATTCAAGGGTTAAACAATGCCTATAAGAAATGTCATTGTTTACCTGACCCCTTCATTGTGATTAATACAGTATTTGATGTTTTACTTATCACACCTAAGATAAAGATAGCCTTAAGTACACCTTAGGAAATCTATATATCATAGAGAGAAGTATGGATGAATTAAAGTAAACTAAAAAGTACGTGAGTTTAAAGGGAAATGTGCAAAATACAACATCTATTTTTTAATAATTTTATAGAATTTTTGTTAATTTCATAACATATATTTTATCATATTTAAATCCCCTTCCATACACAGACACACACACACACACACACACACACACACACAACACACATGTATGAACTTGTGACCCAGATGATTCTTCCTCTGACCCTGGTATGACAAGCCATGGACCTGCCTCCTTCCCATGCTCTGCAAAGAAGCCACTCCCCTTCCCTCTTTCAGCCAATCCTTGACCATAGCTGCTTGCAGGGGAGTGGCTAAGGGTTTAAAAGCTGGGAAAACCAGGAGGCTAGTCCTTTGCTGTCTGGAACCACCCAATTCATGTATGGGTGTAGACTTTCAAACACTGTGGTGAATGGAGGGGTGCCTGCCTGTCTAAACCTACAATCTAGCTCAGTTAGCAAGTCCAATAAACTCGATAACATTCTTCAAACCAGAGTTTCAAGATTTTTTTTTTCCTCAGGTTGTTGCAGGGACTGTGGCAGGAGGGGATTGGATGCCACGTGCACCTCTCAGTAGTGAATTTGACTTACAGGCCTTTAGAGTCAAATTTGTGTCCCCAATGCCCTTGGGTGTAGGTTCATCCACACCAAACACCTAATTTTTAAGTTTGCATTAATTCACGGGTACATCTCTTAGTCATATATAGTTTTCCTAAGGTGTTCTATAGACTGTCTTTATGCTAGGTATTCATAAGTAAAACATCAAATACTGTATTAAACAGAAGGATGGGGTCAGGTAAACGATGACATATCTTACAGGCATTTTTTTAGCAAGAATCTCACCTGTAAATGAGACTGACTTCCCCCGACCAGCAGCCATCAGTTGCCGAGTTCCTCACCTTTCTTCCCCAAGTCTCCATGTCCATACTGGGATTTAGTCTGGCTTGAACTTTTGTGGGATTTGTGCATATAACATGCCA